ACTCCCTAGATTTCAACTGGATTGGGTTTTCTCCTTGCACTAAACTGTTGCACACCATGCCATGCCCCACCCCAGAGACAGGTGCACTTTTGCTGGATGAGTGATCTTTGTGCAGCTTTGCTGTGTGGTTGTTAACAGCTACCATGCTTCAGCCCAGAGATGGCTGCATTTCAGCACTGGATGAGGATCTCTGGGACACATTTTTTATGACTTGCAAAAAGCAAGTTAATTATTCACAGAGCACTGGACACAAGGAGAGTCAGAAACTGGAAATAGCTGTTCATAAAACGTACAGAAGCAACTGACGGGCTATTGAAAAACCCTACAATGTGAAAGGGAATGGAAGCTGACTCAAGTTTTCTTTGGCAACTTGTACTCCCCGATCCTCCAAACTATTTACTCTCCAAGCTGTTGGTCATAAACGTCCAAAAACAGACTCTATGGAATGGGATACAGGGTTATTACAACACCAGTTCCAATCTGGCCCCAGTTTAGGAAGGCTGGCTGGCTTGTGGGCGGTTGAGGTAAATGAATTACAGAGCCTTTCACTTTTAGGTTGATATTGGTTCCAATCCAGTTCCAGATGAGCCGGGGGGATCTCCACCATAACAACATTTTTCATACGTCATTTGAGCCATCCACTCAGCAATTTTGGCTCCCATAAGGACCAAACAGTTCTTTCATCCAGCGTCCAAGCCATCCGTTGCTGCAAAGCTGGCCGCCCCGGGGAGATCTGAAACAAGCCTACCAGGTTTTGCAAGATAATAAACAAGCCTGAATATTCTCCTTGTGGAGTTGTACTGGGAGACCCGTGAAGCACAGGCACCTTTGAATGCTTCTTACTGAATTTCCTGCAGCAGCATAGCACCTTTGTGAACACTGCCATTCAGCTGATCAAACATTTTTCCTTAGTGATTATAGCAGATGTGACACAGGCTGATGCTCAAAGAGCTCGGCAAAGAAAAGGACACCCCTTTCCTTAGCCAGGTCATGAGGTTTGGCAGACCTCATTCTGTACTGCCATCAGCTTTTCTAGTCAAGTCCTTTATTCCTTGCATCAAGCCAGTTTTAGTCTTTACATTTTTGCAGGTAGTGCCATGTTCCCGCAAGCTGGACAGTCATGGTCCCCTACATCTACATGAACCCCTGCTCCCTACATGGAGTCACTGTTTGGGGGGAAGATATAGCTCAGTGGTTTGAGCATTAGCCTGCTAAACCCAGGATTGTGAGCTCAATCCTTGAGGGGGCCACTTGGGGATCTGGGGCAAAAATCAGTACTTGGTCCTGCTAGTGAAGGCAGGGGGCTGGACTTGATGACCTTTCAAGGTCCCTTGCAGTTCTATGAAATAGGTATATCTCCATATGTTATCATTCTCTGCAAAGCAACAAGTTTCACATCCTTCATTATTACTCCTCCACACTGCATACTTATCTGGTAGTTAAACTAGCCATTGAGATAGTTAAATACAGCAGGGCCTCCCTAATCTGCACACCCATTTCCCACAGAGAGTATGTCAATACTACCCACATGCACAGCCACAGCCGCACTGTGATGTGGGCAGCGTAGACACGCTTTATCGCTGGGGAGAGCTCTCACAGCAATAAAAAACCCCCCCAAACGAGCGGTGGTAGCTTTACCTGAACAAGTTTTAGCGCTGAAAGTGGCAGTGTAGACACAGCCTACATCACAACAAGAAGAACAGGAGGACTTGTGGCACCTTAGAGACTAACAAATTTATTAGAGCATAAGCTTTCGTGGACTATAGCCCACTTCTTCGGATGCATATATGCA